TCTGCTGTCTCCTCTGCTCTGAGTGGCATGTCCTCCCTGGGCCGTGTGTCGACCTGCTGTCCCCTCTGCTCTGAGTGGCGTGTCCTCCCTGGGCCGCATGTTGACCTGCTGTCCCCTCTGCTCTGAGTGGCGTGTCCTCCGTGGGCCGTGTGTCGACCTGCTGTCCCCTCTGCTCTGAGTGGTGTGTCCTCCCTGGGCCGTGTGTTGACCTGCTGTCTCCTCTGCTCTGAACAGTGTGTCCCCCCGGGCTGTGTGTCGACCTGCTCTCCCTTCTCCCTAAACTAGGAGGAGCGCCGTGGGCCCACCCTGGTTGCTGTGCAGTCCAGCTGGGAGCTGAGGAGACTGGCAGGCGAGGTCCCTGTGCTGGAGGAGTTCCCACTGGTGCCAGTGCGGGTGGCCGATAAGGTCAGTTACGCAGTCCTGGACTGGCAGCGCCATGGGGCGCGGCACATGATCCGACACTACCTTCACCTGGACACCTGCCTCTCCCAGGCTTTCGAAATGAGCAGGTCAGTGCCCCACCCTCTGGCTCTGGGTGTCTCCGTGGCTGCCAGGTGAGCATATCGTTCATGTCTGGGCAGGTGGGCACCTCACTGCTCTGGGCTGGGTCTGCCTCTGCACAGGTATTTTCACATTCCCGTTGGGAACCTTCCAGAGGACATCTCTACCTTTGGTTCCGACCTCTTCTTTGCCCGCCACCTCCAGCGCCACAGCCACCTCCTCTGGCTCTCTCCCACATCCCGGCCCGACCTGGGTGGCAAGGAGGCCGACGACAGCCGCCTGGTCATGGAGCTTGAAGACCATGCCACAGTGGAGATCAACAGCTCAGGCTGCTACTCCACAGGTGAGCAGGTGTGCTGAGGGGCTCACTGAGCCCCGAGAGCCCGGGCCAACTGACACTGCGGAGTCCAGGGGTCCGTTGTGCCAGGGAGTCGGCTGAGTCGGGGGGGCGGCGCTGGGCAGCGGCAGTGCTGGGGCAGGTGATTCTCCCATTGGCATGGGTGGGGTGGGTGGCACAAGGTGGTGGACTCCGGTGAACGGGGCCTTGTGTGCAGTGTGCGTGGAGCTGGACGTCCAGAACCTTGCTGTCAACACCATCCTTCAGTCACACCGCATCAACGACATGGAGGGGGCCGCCAGTGCAGGCATCAGCTTCGACGCGATCCCGCAGGCCTCCCTGGAGGACATGATCACCGGCAACCAGGCTGCCTCCATGCCAGCCAGCTATGACGAGACGGCCCTCTGCTCCAGCACCTTCAGGTACCCGCAGATGCCTGCTACTGATGCTATGCAGTCCTTGTTGAGGGACACCCGGTGCTGTTTCTTTGTTGCCTCGACATCTTCTCCAAAGAGACAAAAACGGCAACTAAAGCCGGTGTCACTGGGCTGTCCTCGGTCAGTTGATGGAGATGGGGCTGCCAGGCACCAGGGCTCCCTGTCATAGTTAGTTCTGCCCACCACCAGCACATGCTATCCTGAGCATCCTCCTCCCAGGTGGGACGTCTCATGGGGACCTTTTTAAACCACACTTCCTTTAGGTAGGACTGGGTGTACCAAGTTGAAGTCTGCAGGGGGTGTGCAGGCATGCAAATTGGTCAGAGTCGCTGTGGGACGCAGAAGCAGGACAAACACATGTGAAGTGGGGTGAGGGCAGATGCCGAGTAGCGGAACCAGTGTGGGCATGAAGAGCATTGTCTCGAGAGGGAGCTGCTGTGCTGGGCAGCGTCACAGGCGGCTGCGTGTGACCCATGCTGGTGGGGTGCATGTGGTGCCAGGGAGCAGGCTGGCTTTCCACACACACTGTCCTCTGCAGCCCCACAAGTGGTGCGTGCTAGCCCATGTTGGGGACAGGAGCACCATTTTGCTCATGGGAGTTGGGGTTTGAGGACAGGTCTGGATGCTCCCAGCAGCCGCACTCTAGAACCATTACATAGTGCTGCCAAGAGAAGGGAAGAAAATTTGGTAAAAAGAGACACAGAGACTAGATGCACGTGGTGTGTGCAGCCTAGAGTCGGCTCTTGGCAGTCAGCAGCTAGTTGAGGCCTGAAGGGGGTCAGGCTGCCAATGGCGTATATTGTCTCTCTCAAGAAAGTGGGCTTGAATGTTGAGTTTGTGAGGGGTCCTCAGATGGACCGTGAGGACAGTGCTGACTTAGGGCCATGACCCTGTGCTGGAGGTAGGAAGGCCTGGCAGGCCTGTTGCTAACCGCGGGCATGAGCTGGGGCCCCAGCAGGGCTGGTGTCCCCACAAGTGCTGCCTTGAGCTGTGGCTCTCTCCAGGGCACTGTGTCCCCCATCTCTATCCCAGCACTGATCACTCAGTGAGGTCACAGCATTGTTGAGTGAGTGTGGTCGAGTCGGGAGGCGTGAGTAGGAAGAACAAGTAGCATCACTGAGGGCAAAGCTGAAGGACAGGAGGAGCAAGGAGGCACAGGGATGGGGTTGGGCCAGCAGAACTGAAAGCCTGGGGGCTGAGTGGGCCCACAGTTCCAGCTGTGGGCAGTCAGGCGCTGCCTCCACATCTCTTGCAGGATCCTGAAGAGCATGGTGGTGGGCTGGGTGAAGGAGATCACGCAGTACCACAACGTTTATGCCGACAACCAGGTGATGCACTTCTACCGGTGGCTGCGGTCCCCGTCCTCCCTGCTCCATGACCCCGCCTTGCACCGCACACTGCACAGCATGATGAAGAAGCTCTTCCTGCAGTGAGTTGCGGCGGCACCCCAGGGTGGGAGGCAGGGGTGTGGTGCTCTGCAGTCGTGTCTCCCACAGCCCCTGGCTCTGCCAGCCGCTCTCGCCAAGCATGCTGGTTGCTCAGATGCAGACGCCAGAGCAGTGGCCATCTAATACCTCTTGGATAAATAGTCCACTTCTGGGTGAATGGTACATCAAATTGGAAGTATCCCAGTAGCCCTTAGCTGCCACTGCAGCTGTGTGTGTGTGTGCGTGCGCGCGTGTGTGTGCATGTGTGCGCGTCCTTTCAGAGAATGGTGAGTGCAGAGGTTCTTTGCCCCTTTTTTGCACAAGACGTTGTTACTCTGTTAGGTGTTTTGCAGCCTGGTTGTTTTGGTTAGTGCTATGTCATAGAGACACATGTCTGGGTGTGTCGTACTGATGGACGTTTAGTCTCTTTCTAACCTTACACTTTTACAAATAACATTTCAAGGAATGATCTTGTGCTTAAGGTCATGCAAATGTATCTGTAGATAATGTTCCAGAAGCCAAACTGTTGCAGATTTGATAGATATTATAAGTAGGTAAGTAAATGATAATTGGATACATATTGCCAAAGAGCCCCCATAGAGGTTGTGCAGTTTGTTGTGGCCAGCGCTGACTGAGAGTACTTCTTACCACCCTATGGCTTACAGTGTTACCTCAGTGAACTTCCTCTTCAGATCCTCTGCCCATCTTTCTGTAGTTTTGTTGGTTTTTCCCTTATTTGTATTAGTTTTCTCTGTATAAAAATTACTCATTTTTCTGTGATATGAGTTATAAATTTTTTTCTTCAGATTTTGATTACATTTTGGCTCTGCTTATACTGTGCAGAATTTTTTATTTTTATGTGGTCAGCTCTAGTCTTCTCTATTGCTTCTGGGGTCTAAGTATGTTAGAAGAGCATTTCTGTTGAGGATTATGGAGCTCCTTGACCGCGTGTTCTGAACTTGCTCCGCAGGCTCATTGCTGAGTTCAAGCGCCTCGGGTCATCAGTCATTTACGCCAACTTCAACCGCATCATCCTCTGCACGAGGAAGCGCCGCATTGAGGACGCCCTTGCCTACGTGGATTACATCACCAACAGGTAGAGGCGGGGCTTGCTCTTGTGAGAAGCACCTGGGGTGCAGCCTCGCCGAGGGCCCGGCTATGGCTTAGGCCAAGATGACTGGTGCTAGACTGGGAGAGCTTAGGAACACACACATACAGTAAAGCAACAACCATAGCATAAAAAACAGTTGTAGCAAAACATAGGCGCACTCAGATGGCAGGCATGTTGCTTTGTGATTAGAATGGCTGGTGTACCCACCTTTGGAAAGAAGATTGCAAGAAGTTGTTGCAAACCTTTCATAGATACTGATGTCAGCAACTAAGTGTTTGCTTTTAGAGCAGAAGTTCATGCAAAGTCTTTGGTTGTCAGTGCCGGCTGTTACCTTCTGAATTTTAGATAGAGGCTACCTGCCTACACCTCAGGCCATGTGACGGGCCTCCTAAAACCTGGCCACGCATAGCACACACTGCATATTCTCTGCATGTAAGTAGAGGACACAGCCACAGTGAAGTGTCCACGGTAGTTTCCCTCCTTTTGTTTCGTTTATAACAGGAAGCTCACACTATTGGGTGAGTTTATGTTAAACACGCAGATAAAGCACTTTTCTAAGCACAGAGAAGTTGCTAGTGGATGCGCGGGAGCAACATCCGATAGGCCTGGTCAGCTGCCTGTGCACGCAGGAGTGGCACTGAGGGGTAGCTGATGCTGAAGGGATGGTAAATCTCCTTATCAAGCAGTAGGAGACATACTTTAGAGGACTTATTCCTCATCAAAGTACATGTACTCTAAAACAAGACCATCGTTGTCATCCTTCTCAGACCTGCAGTCAGCATGTCACTGTATCCACAGTGTGTGCCTCAGTTCTGAGATAAGCTTTCACTGTCAGTGTCCACAAATGTGGGCTGATAGGATGGGCTTATCTTGAAACAGCCTTTTCTGGTACTGCAGATGAGCCTGGCCCAGACAGGCTGTGGCCGAAATATGGGTGGGAAGGTTATTCCTTAGGATTTTCTTTCTTCCTGTCTCTTTCCTTTCCTTCTTTCCCTCCCTCCTTGCCTCCTTCTTTCTGTATTTTCTTCCTTTTTTTTTTAATGGACCTTAGGTGCAGAAGATTGACTTAATCATAGTGAGGCCAACTTAACTTAGGAGTGATAAGAGTAAAGATAAACCTGTAAGAGCTTGATAACAGGAAGCAATGCTATTAGATACCTGTCACTACAGATTGTCTAAGGTCAGGGAGCAGAGGCAGTTAACCTCATGGGGTCTGTCCCTGAGCATAAGAAAATGTCCAGTTTTCCTGTTTGTGGCCCTCAGATTCATTTGGGCAACAGGCCAATTTGAATTGCTTATTACACATTTTAGCAATTTTGAAGTCTTTAAAAAAATCTCACTTTCTCTTCTCCGTTGCACCTGTTCTTACAAGATGTTGAACTTAGTGCAGGAATTATCGCACATAAAATTAATGCTTTGCTTTACTCTCTGACCTTTGAGGAGATTCCTTCCTTCACAAGCCATGGAAATGGGCAATATCTAATGAGAAATTAAATCATTCAGAAGCTTTATTCTAACTTCAGTTGAATTCATTATTCTTTAAGGGAGGCTGTTTACCTATTTGTGTCTTTATATTTAAGGTAGAGTTCTTAAAGGTAGCATATAGTTGGGTCCTGTTTTGTTATCCAGTCTGACAACTTCTGCCTGTTCATTAGGGTGATTAGACCATTTACATTTAATATGATTATTTATATGTTTGGGTTTAAATCTAATATCTTGCTCTTTTTTTTTTTTTAACCCCATTTGTCCCTTGTTCCCTTTTTTGTTTTATAATTTTAGTGGTTGTTTTATGGTTTATACTATACATTTTTATCACAGTTGGCCTACAAGCAGTATTGTACCATTTTGTGTATAGTATAAGAATTTTACAGTAGTTTACTTCATTTTTACCCCCCCAGCCTTTGTGCTATTGTCATACATCTTACTTCTACATATATTAGAAACCCTACACTGTATCACTACATTCTTATTATTTTTGTTTAAGTAATCAGTTATTTTTAGAGAGATTTAAATAGTAAGAAAACATTTGTATGTATTTATTCGTGTAGTTATTATTCCTAGTATTTTTCATTTCTTTGTGTAGATCCAGATTTTTATCTGATATCATTTTCCTTACACCTGAGAATTTTCTTTAACATTTCTTCTAGTGTGTCTGTTGGTGATGAAGTCTTTCTGCTTTTGTAATGTCTGAAAAAATCTTTATTTCACCTTCATTTTTGAAAGGTATTTTCCCTGGGTGTAGAAATCACTGGGTATAAAGATATTTCACTGGGTCACTATGAGTTAGAATCTACTTGATGGCAACAGGTTCGTTATAGAATTCTGGGTTGACTTTTTTTTTTCAGTTCCTTAAGATGTTCTCTACTGTCTTCTTGCTTGCTTGTTTCTGATGAAAAGTTGGCTATCATCCTTATCTTTGTTTCTCTGTATGTAGTGTCTTTCTTCCCTCTGGCTACTTTCAGGATTTTTTCTTTATCACTGGCTGTAAGCAATCTGATTATGATGTGCCTTGGTGTTGTTTCTTTGTAGTTCTTGTCCTTGGGGTTTATTAAACTTCTTGGATCTATAGGTTGTAATTTTCATGAAATTTGGATTTTTTTTAGCCATTATTTCCTCAAATATTTTTTCCCTCCTCCCCACTTCTTTGGGGACTCCAGTTACACATATACTAGGCCACTTGAGGTTCCCTCACAGTTCACTGATTCTCTGTTCATTTTTTGAAAGTCTTTTTTTCCTGTCTGTGTTTCATTTTAGATAGTTTCTATCATTATGGCTTTCGATTCATGCATCTTTCTTCTGCAATGTCTGATCTGTTGTTAATCCCATCCCATTTATTTTTCATTTCAGACATTGTCATTTTTATCTCTAGAAGCTCAGTTAGGGTCTTCTTATGGATTTTGTGCCTCTACTTAAGATGTTCAGTCTTTCCTCTAGCTTTTGGAACACATGAAATACAATTCCAGTAACTACTTTAATTTCCTATTCTGCTAATTCTGACATTTGTCAACTCTGATTTTTTCAATTGATTGGTATTTTTTCTCCTTATTATGTGTTGTATTTCCCTGCTTTTTTGCATGTTTGGTGATTTTTGATTGGGTGCTAGATATTGTGAATTTTACCTCATTTTGAGTTGGATATTTTTTCAGTCCTGAAAATATACTTGACAGAGTGGGAGAGAAATATAGAACAAAATTCAAACTCATAAATAAGACCAGACCTGTACTGCTCTGATAGAGACTGGTGGAACCCCCATGACTATGGCCCTTAGACACCCTTCAAACCTAGAACTGAAATCACTCGCAGAGATCACATTATAGCCATACAATAGACAGGCCTCAAAACAGTCAACTATACAAGACCTAAAGGGCAGCATTTGCCCAAAAGCACAGTTCAGAAAGGTGGTAGGGGCAGGAAAGCTGGGCGGATGGACACGGGGAACCCAGAGATAAAGGGAAGAGAGTGCTGACACCTTCAGGGGTTTGTAACCGATGTCACGAAACAAGCCGTGTATAAATTGTTGAATGAGAAACTAATTTGCTCTGTAAACTTGCACCTAAACAACAATAAAATGTTCACAAAAAAGGAAAATATATTGAGCTTTAGTCTGTATACAGTTGTTACTTGGAAACAGTTTGATCCTTTTGAGTTTCTTTTGTTAAAGTCTGTTAGGTAGAACCAGAGCAGCATTTAACCTAGGGCTTATCATTCCCTACTACTGAAGCAGGACTCATTCTGAGTATTCTACCCAATGCGTGATGAATTATGAGGCTCTCCAGGCACCGTTCTTACCCCGTGTGAGTGCCGAGCACAGCTCTCTCTAATCCTTCTGGGTGGTTCTTTCCATGGTCTCACGTAGTTTTCTCAGTGTATACGTTGATACCCAGTAGTCTGCAGAATACCCGAGGGCAGCCCTCTGAAGCTCTCTGTGGCTCTCCCTCTGTGCAGCTCTCTCCTCTCTGGCCCTCTGCCCTGTGAACTCTCACCGCCTTAATCTCCCCAGATTCTCAGCTCCATCTCCTCAACACAGAGAGTCTGTCAGACTCTGCCTCCCGGGAGGGCATGTCTGGTCCCTGCTTCTGCATCCTGACAGAGTGGACCTCTCCTTATGTTTATTATGTTTACGTTTATCGTTGTTCCCGAGAAAGGTTGGGGGATAACAGAATCTGAATCCACTTTACGTTCATTTATAAATAAGTGGAGGGTAAGTAGAGAAAGGAGTCCCTGGGTGGCGCAGATGGTTCGCACTTGACTACTTACCTGAAAGGTTGGCAGTTTGAACCCACCCTGAGGTGCCTCGGAAGAAAGGCCTGGTGAACTGCTTCTGAAAGGTCACAGCCTTGAAAACCCTATAGAACACAGTTCTACTCTGACATACATGGGGTCATCATGAGTCAGAATCAACTGACAGCAGCTGGCTTGTTTTTTTTTCTTTTCGTGGAGAAAACTTGATTTCATTTAAGCAGTTTCTGTTTTGCTTCTTTTGCAGCATCCACTCTAAAGAGATCTTCCATTCCTTGACAATCTCTTTCTCTCGATGCTGGGAATTTCTTCTCTGGATGGATCCATCTAACTATGGGGGAATCAAAGGAAAGGTCTCACCTAGTATTCACTGTGGACAGGTAAGAGGTACTAGTCTTGGGGAAGTCAGGTGTGGAATCAGAAATGGTTTTGGGGGCCAGTGTTCATTCCTTCAACCAATACTTAGTGGTCACATACCATGTGCCAGGGACTGTTCTAGGCCCTGGTGGCCCCGCAGTGAACACAGCTGAGTGTGTTTGCGGGGAGAACACCATGAACAAACAAACCGTTAAGTACAGAATACAGCGTCATCAATGGTGAGGGCGCAGGGTAAACACGAAGGTAGAGGCATGGAGAGTGCACGGGGGCAGGAGGTGGTCAGACAGGGTGGCCCAGGAGGCCTCTCCAGGGAGTGGGTTGAAGCTGAGATCTGCAGGAAGCGGGCGAGCAAGCCGCGTGAATGGGAGGAAAAGCTGTCTTGAAAACACAGCAGGATCATCTCTTACATGCAGCAAGAGTCCCCGGAAGGGGAGGAAGCAGAGAGAGAGCAGGAGGAGGAGGAGGAGGAGGAGGAGGAGGAAGAAGAAAGCTTGGAGGAAGCCAGAGTGGAGGATTTACTGGAAAACAACTGGAACATTTTGCAGTTTTTGCCACAGGCGGCCTCCTGTCAAAGCTACTTTCTCATGATCGTCTCAGGTGAGCCCCAGGACATGCTGCCCCTGGTGGGGCCGTCCTCCACACCAGGGTCATGGCAGGGTTGTGCCCTGGTCAGTCAGTGTGTCTGGGACATGACTGGGCTGCATGAAGGTGAACAGTCAGAAATTGCACCTGGCTTGCACGCGCCTCGCAGTCCCGAGTTTGTGAGATTTAGCCCTGAGGCACCCACCATGCCTCCCCTGTGCTCAGGGATGCTGGCTCTGTCCCAGCCTGGAAGTGCTGGGTGGGGGGCCGCCCCTCGCCCTCTGTGGGGCTGAGGACAGCTGCTCCTGAGTGGGCACTGGAAGTCTCAGATCTGCTCCAGAGAGCTGTTTTGGTGGTGCCATCACACACCAAGATGAGCCCCGAGAGAAAAGAGATTAGGGACTTTAGAAGCCAACCATCCCCAGCTGCTCTGAGGCCTCACGCTGGTGTGAGACACTCCGTGCCTCCGTTTAGTGTCTGCTGGCCCAGCTCTCCAGGGGATGGAGTGCATAAACTGAACACCCTGGTAGTTAGGGTTGGTTGTTTAGACGAACAGATAACGATGAACATTGTGATTAAACTGTCAGCAGATGGACACGCATATACACTCTCAGAAATAGTGGCAGGGGTGGTTTGATTTGTTACCGTATTCTTTGTCTGCTTGCCCTTGGCTTCTCTTCTGGGCGTGTGGGCCTGGCAGAGTTTCCGAGGAGGCTTGCTTACACGGGCGTCTCGCCTTTGTTCCACTGTGACCATTTCTCTCTCTCTTGCCCGTGGGAGGGGTAATGCACGTGGCTTCGTGGACACAGCGCCCTCTCTAAGGGTGAGTCTGGGCACCATTGCAGGCTCACCATCCCCACTTCTCTCATGGACTTTAGGCTGCTTTAAAGGCAGCTGTAAGTCATAGCCAATCACAAGGTTTCAGACCCAGACCGGGGCAGGGCCCCTTGGGCTTCTGATACTCCCGCCTGCTCCTCCCGACAGCGTACATTGTGGCTGTGTACCACAGCATGAAGGAGGAGCTGAGGCGCAGCGCCCCAGGGAGCACCCCCGTGAAGAGGAGAGGGGCCAGCCAGTTCTCCCAGGAGGCAGAGGGTGCAGCTGGGGCCCTACCCGGTGAGTGCTGGGGCCAGGACCCCCTGGGCACGTCGGGTGGTCCACAGAGGTTCTGAGGCCCTCCCCCTCCCCCGGTGTCGTTGTCCCTGTGTGAGATGACAGGCGCTGTGGCCCTTCGCTCCCCAGGAATGATCACTTTTTCTCAGGACTACGTGGCAAATGAGCTCACCCAGAACTTCTTCACCATCACACAGAAGATTCAAAAGAAAGTCACAGGCTCTCGGAACTCTACGGAGCCCTCAGAGATGTTCCCTCAGCTCCCGGGTTCTCACCTGCTGCTCAACAACCCTGCTCTGGAGTTCATCAAGTACGTGTGCAAGGTGAGAATGCAGAGGCAGGTGTGCGCATGCTCCCTGGGACCGTTGGAGCCCGACGGTGTGCCGGTGCTGAGCCGGGCGTGAGGACTCAGTGGTGAGCAGGCGGTGAGCACCCTGTGCTGCGGTGCTTGAGTTCCAGTTGGGGAGACAGATAAGCTCAGAGAACAGGGCTGAGTGCTGAGGAGATGAAACAGGGAGATAGGAGAGTGATGACAGAGCCGGGCTGGGTAGAGGAAGGTCCTTCTGGAGCTGGTGTTGGAGCCAAGACCCGCAGTGGCCAGGAGAACAGTTTATGTGGAGCGGAAATAATGCTCTAGTCAGAGAAGTAGCATGGAGGCCCACAGGAAAAACCTAGCTTCCCTTTGAGGTTCTGAGTTCAGCAAAGGCACAGTCCCGTATCCAGCACCCAATCCAGGTATAGAGCAGTCCCCCCACCCCCCTGGAAGTTCCCCTGTGCTCTCTCCCCACCCCTGGCAGCCACTGGTTTATTCTCCGTGGGTTTTGTTTTATTATTACTTTATTATTTATTTATATAAAGTGAAATTCACTCTTCGTGGAATGCAGTTGTATGAGTTTTATGGACAGGTAGCCTTGTGCCACCACAATCAAAGCGAGGACACTCCATCATCCTAAAATATGCCCCGTGCTGCCCCTCTGGGGTCAGCCCCTCTTCTTACCCGCAACCCTTCCCTGTTCTTGTATTTTTACTTTTTCAGAATATCCTGTCAATGGAATCATACATTATATAGGCTTTAGGAAGTGGCTTCTTTCACTCAGCAAAGGGCATTTGAGATTCATCCAGGCTGTTGCAAGCATTGATGGTTCATTCCTTTCTGTGCTAAATAGTGGTCTGTTGTATGGACGTGCCATTCACTGGTTGAAGGACGTTTGGGTTGTTTTTGTTGTTTGGTAATTATGTATACGGCTGCTATAAACATTCTTGTATAAGTGTCTGTGTGAACATAGGTTTCATTTCTCTGGGATAAAAACAGGAGTGAAATCTCTGGGTCATATGGTAAGCCGCTTAGCTCTGTGAGAAACTGCCAAGCTGTTTTCTGAAGCGGCTGCACCATTTTGCATCCCACCAGCAGCGTACGGACAGCGTTCCAGTGGCTCCACATCCTCGCTTGTCTTGGCGTTGTTAGTTTTTCACTCTAGGTGCATAGTGGTGTTTCATGTTTAAATTTCATTTCTCTAATGACTAATGATGTTGAGCATCTTTTCAATGTGCTTAGTTGACATTCATTTATCTTCTTTGGTGAAATGTCTGTTCAAATTTTTTGCCCATTTAAAGAAAATTGGACTGTAAGAGTATTGTTGAATTTTAAGGATACCTTGTGTATTCTGGATACAAGTCTTTTATCAGATATAAGTTTTGAAAATATTGCCTCCCAGTCTTTGGTTGTCTTTTCATTCTCTTAACAGAATTTTTCAATGAGTAGAAGATCTTCGTTTTGATCCAGTTTATCACTTTTTTTTCCTTTTATAGGATGTGCTTTTTGTGTTGTATCTAAGAAATCTTTGCCTCAACCAAAGTCACAAAGATTTTCTCCTATGTTTCTTTCTAGACGTTTTTTAGTTTTAAGTTTTACATTTAGATCTATGATCATTTTGAGTTGGTTTTATATATTGTGTATACTCTAGGTCAAGTTTCATATTTTTACATAAGGATATCCAATTACTTCAGCACCATATGTTGACAAAAACTCTTCTTTCCCCACTGAATCATCTTTGCATCTGTTTCAAAAATTAATAGCCCATATATATGTGGGTTTATTTCTGAACTTTCCATTGATCTAAATATCTATCTGTTCACCGACACCACACTGTCTTGCTTACCACCTGCTTATTATTTTATAAGTCTTAGATTAGCGAAACTACTTCACCTCGGTTCTCTTTTTCAAAATTCTTTGGTTATTCTAGTTACTTGTCCTCTATGTATATATTCTTAAATCAGTTTATCAATTTCTAAAAAAAAAAACATCCTCTGGGATGTTGAGTGGAACTCTATAGACTAATCTAGGGAGAATGGATGTCTTATCAATGTAGTAGCCCCCAATCCGTGAACCAGTAGATCTGTCCATTTAGATCTTCTTCAATTTCCTTCATCAGTGTTTTGTGGTTTTCAGCATATTAAAAAAACCTCATTGTTGAGTTGATTCTGACTTGACACCATGTGTATCAGAGTAGAACTGCTCCATAGAGTTTTCCTGGCTGTAATCTTTATGGAAGTTAATTGCCAGACCTTTCTTCTGTGGAGCCACTGGATGGGTTCAAACCACCAACCTTTAGGTTAGCAGCCAATCGCAAACTGCTTTCGCCACCCAGGGACCTTTTTCAGCACATAAATATTGCAAATTATAAATAGTACTGTTTTTTTTTTTTTTAATTTATTTTAGTTTCCAATTCCTTACTGCTAATATAAGGAGCCCTGGTGGTGCAATGGTTAAGTGCTTAACCTTGTGTCCTGCAACCTTTCTAAACTCACTTATTAATTCTTGTAGCATTTTTATAGATTCTTTGGGATTTTGTTTGTAGATAATCATGTTGTCTGTGAACAGAGATGGTTTATTTCTTCTGTTCTAATCTGTGTGCCTTTTATTCCTTCTTACCTTGAAGCATGGGCTAGGAATTCCCGTGTGGTAGGAGTGGTGTCCTGGCCTTGTGCTCGACCTTGTTGTTGTTGTTAGGTGCTGTTGAGTCAGCTCCAACTCACAGCGACCCTACGTACAATGGAACGAAATACTGGCCGGTCCTGCGCCATCCTCAAAATTGTTGCTATGTTTGAGCCCATTTTTGCAGCCGCTGTGTCAATCTACCTTATTGAGGGTCTTCCTCTTTTTCACTGACTCTCTACTTTGCCAAGCATGATGTCCTTCTCCAGGGACTGGTCCCTCCTGATAACATGTCTGAAGTACAGGAGACGAAGTCTCGCCATCCTCCCTTCTAAGAAGCGTTCTGGTTGTACTTCTTCCAAGACAGATTTGTTCATTCTTCTGGTAGTCCATTGTATATTCGGTTTTCTTCACCAACACCATAATTTAAAAGCATCAATTCTTCTTCGATCTTCCTTATTCATTATCCACCTTTCGCATGCATATGAGGCAATTGAAAATACCATGCCTTGGCTCAGGTGCACCTTAGTCCTCAAAGTGACATCTTTCCTTTTCAACACTTTAAAGAAGTCTTTTGCAGCAGATTTGACTAATGCAATGTCCTTTCACTTCCTGACTGCTGCTTCCATGGGTGTTGATTGTGGATCCAAGTAAAATGAAATCCTTGACAACTTCAATCTTTTCTCAGTTTATTATATTGCTTATTGGTCTAGTTGTGAGTATTTTTGTTTTCTTTATGCTGAGATATAATCTATACTGAAGGCTGCAGTCTTTGATCTTCATCAGTAAGTCCTTCAAGTCCTTTTTTCTTTCAGCAAGCAAGGTTGAGTCATTTGCATATTGCAGGTTGTTAATGAGTCTTCCTTCAACCCTGATGCCACATTCTTCTTCATACAGTTCAGCTTCTCAGATTATTTACTCAGCATATAGATTGAATAGTATGGTGAAAGGATACAACCCTGATGCACACCTTTCCTGAGTTTAAACCACGCAGTATCCCCTTGTTCTGTTCAAATGACTGCCTCTTGGTCTGTATACAGATTGCTCATGAGCACAATTAAGTGTTCGGGAATTGCCATTCTTCACGAGGCTATCCATAATTTCTTACGGTCCATAGATCCTCATAGCATTCATGTTTCATCATTTGCTATGATATCAGCTGTAAATTTTGGGGGAACACACTGTCAGGTTGAGGAAGGTCTCTTCTGATTCTAGTTTCCTGAAAGTTTTAATCATGAATCTGTAGTGAATTTTGTCAAGTGCTTTTTCTGCATCTGTTGAGATGATCATATTGTTTTTCTTTAGTTTTTTCTTCTTTAGTCTGTTGATATGGTGAATTATACTGATTGGTTTTCAAATGTTGATCCAGCCCTGCATTCCCGGGATAAATCCCACTTGATCACAATGTATTATCCTTTTTATGTATTGTTGGTATTTTGTGAGGATTCTTTTGTTTGTGCTCTTCAAGTTATTGCTCTATAGTTTTCTTGTAGTGTCTTTGCCTGGTTTTGGTGTCAGGATAATGCTGGCCTCATAAAATGAGTTGGAAAGTGTTCCTTTGTCTTCTGTTTTCTTGAGGAGTTTGTGTCGAATTGGTATCATTTCTTCTTTAAAAGTTTGGTAGAGTTTACCCATGAAACATCTTTAATTTTTACTGTCTCTTTTAGTTCCATATAATACATCTCCCTTAAAAACTTTGTGGGTTTCCTTTTGTGTTGAGTGTAGGCTCTTCCATTAGACAAAAGCCACGTGCACAGTTGTCTTTGAGACAGGCCTGTCTGTACTTTGGATAGCGGGTCAGGGTGAAACAGCTGCGATTCCTAGAAGCTCTTTGTCTAGCTGAGAGGGTCATGCACCTTACATCTTCCTGAGGTCTTAACTGTGGGTCTGATAGCCACATTCTCCATTCGCTCTTGAACGTGAGGCCATTTATTACTTTTGAGAAACTTTTGCTGGCTGTACAGACTGCCTTGGGCCCTCTGTATTTTCTCATAATTTTGCTTTCGATGTTATTGTGACTTTTGGACATTCCATGTGTTACAGAATAGAACTTCTCCATAGGGTTTTCTTGGCCGTAATATTTACAGAAGCAGATCGCCAGGCCTGTTTTCTTCTGTGATGCCACTGGGTGGGTTTGAACTGCCAACCTGTTGGTTACCAGCCGAATGCAAACCATTTGTGCCACCCAGATACCTTTGGCATTTTCTTTTTTGATTCATTTCTCTGCAGTGCCTCATCTGCGCTGCTCAAAGTAGCCAGTTCGCACTTTCAGCATCTGCCTGGAAGTCCCAGTGGGTCCACAGGCTTTGTGTCTGCATTCCTGCTGTGGGGGCTCCACCGCGGTGCGACCTGGTGGCGTCTTTCTCCAGTGTTCAGTGGTCTCCTTGGTGGTCTTTGGCCTCTGCTAACGTCCTCCTGGTCCCACAACCAATGCCACAGGTTCTGGGTTTTGTTACATCCATACCCCACTTCTAGGCACAGTTTCTGTGTCAGTATCGATTGCTGCTTCACAAAGCACCCCAACTCTGTGGCTTATAACAACAGTGGTTTGTCTCACGATTCTGTTGTTATTCCTGGATAGGGTTCACGTGGTTCAGTAAGGAGGGCAATCACAGGTTTGCCGGAAGGATGGTTCTGTTATTGTCTTTGTTTGGAAATAAAATACTATGGAAGTGGGTGTGTGTGGGCAACCTGCTGACAGTTGGGGGCACGCTGTGGGCAGTCTCCCAGAACCCCATTTCCCGAATGATTCCAAGCTAGAGTTGGCCGGAGGAAGAACCGAGTGCACTTTGGGAGGTGGAGGCAGGTGCTGAGGGGGACACTGGAGGAGCCTGTGGGGCACTGCCCGGCAGGTGGCTGAGCCGTGAGTGGCCAGTGCATCCACAGGGTCTGGAAGCTCCTCTGCCATGTAGCTTCCGTCTGTGAGCTATAGCCAGGTATGGGCACATCTGGGCCATGGTCATCAGGGGGCCAGCATGCACAGGGGAGCAAGGGCAGGATGCTCATGTCTGCACCCTGGGCCTGGAGCCCTGCGGGGTCATCATGCTGTTGCACCTCTGTCCCCACCTCGTGCTCACCCCACCCTGCGCCCGCCCCACACCTCATGCTCACCCTACCCTGCGCCTGCCCCATACCTCATGGCTGCCCTACACCCCACGCCCGCCCCACACCTCTCCCTGCCCATACCCCTTGTCTGCCCCACACCTCACCCCTCTGCTGGCCAGCTCAGGCCAGGGGGAAAGAGGGTGATCTGGAAGCATTGGCCCAGCTTCACCAAGCTGGTGGCAGGGTGACCTGTGCCCTGTCCGACATTTGGGGGTCCCCCAGCCCTCAAGGGCTCCCTCCAGATGGGGCCAGGTGGCGACACGGAGGTGGTCTGTTGTGTGGGTGGTCCGGCAGAGAAAAGGGCATCGGGTGGTTCTGTTAATATGGCACTTTGAGGTCCCATCTTGAGGCCCCTCCCCAACACACCCACCAAAAAAAACCGAAGCCCATTGCCATTGAGTTGATTCTGACTCATAGTAACCCTACAGGACAGAGTAGAACTGCCCCACAGGGTTTCCAAGGAGCTGCTTGCTGGATTCGAACGGCCAACCTTTTGGTTAGCAATCAGCCTCTTAACCATTGAGCCACCAGGGCTCCCCCCGACACAGCAGGGGTAAAATACTAAACACACCCTCCTGTGGGCCAGAATTGGGCCAGAACCACACGTGCTGGACAGGCAGAGGAAGTGGGCCTGCGGTGGTTCCAAGGTCATCGGAACAGATGGGGTGGGTGCACCCAGTGTCTGGCCAGGAGGGACTGCGCCTCCTGGCTCTGCACTGCACTCTTCAACACGTTCTGGGCAGAGACTTCCCTGGGCTGCGTGGAGACCTCGCCATCCTGGAGGGGTTGGCGTCAGCTCCTTTGTGAACGGAAAGTGACTGATGGCTGGTCACTGGGGGAGGAGCCCCTGATGGGAGGGCAGAGCCCACCACCGCCAGGGCCCAGGTGTGGGGGCACCAGAAGCTTCTGAGGGGTTGGGGCCCTCAGAGGACCTGCAGCTTTGGGGCACCAGCGGTATAGGTCTCCATCCCAGAGCGTTAGCGGCAGCCGGGTGCCTGACACGCTGCCCTGCAGGTCCTGTCCCTGGACACGAACATCACGAACCAGGTGAACAAGCTGCGCCGGGACCTGCTGCGCCTGGTAGGCGTCGGCGAGTTCTCACAGGAGGCACAGTTCCGAGACCCCTGCCGCTCCCATGTGCTCTCAGAGGTCATCTGCCACAGCTGCAATTTCTGCCGGGACCTGGACCTGTGCAAAGACTCCACCTTCTCCCAGGTGGGCCCCAGTGACCCCCACTGTGCAAGCCACACCTGCTGGGACTTGCCTAAGCCATGAGTTTGGGAGAGGGCCCACGTGGTCAGTAGTGATCCCATCCTGTGAGTATGGGAGAGGGGCCATGTGGGGCCCAGGTGGCCCCTGTCCTGTGAGTGTGGGAGAGGGGCCACGTGGTCAGTAGTGTTCCCATCCTGTGAGTATGGGAGAGGGGCCATGTGGTCAGTAGTGGTCCCATCCTGTGAGTATGGGAGAGGGGCCACGTGGTCAGTAGTGATCCCATCCTGTGAGTGTGGGAGAGGGGTCTTGAGGTCAGTAGTGGTCCCGTCCTGTGAGTGTGGGAGAGGGGACACGTGGTCAGTGGCAGCCCTGGAACTGGCCCCTCCTGGCAGTGGGCCCCCCACCATCACACCAGCACTTCCTGCAGACCTGGGCTGGGCCAGTGGGGCAGGAGGCCTAGACAAGGGGTCACCTGTCCCTCCTCTGCCAGGATGGGGCAGTCCTGCCTCAGTGGCTCTGTTCCAACTGTGAGGTGCCCTATGACCCCACCGTCATTGAGGCGGCCCTGGTGGATGCGCTGCAGAAGAAGCTGATGGCCTTCACGCTGCAGGACCTGGTGAGGACGTGTGTATGTTGGGGTGCATAGCTGCAGAGCCAGCCCCGCCCCCCAGGCAGAGGGCGTCTGTGCAAGTGACCTGCACTCTGTAGTGGGTACATGTAGTTGCGTGACATGTCTGTGTGTGTCCGGGAACGTGTGTGTGCATGCATGTTTGCGTGTGTCTTGAGCACATGTGTATGTCTCTGCATGTGTGTACCTGGGCACGTGTGTGTGTGTGTGTGTGTGTGTATATGTATGTCTGGGGATGCGTGTGCTTATGTGTCCAGGCACATATGCACGTGCTTGTTTGGGGACAGTATACATAGCCATCATTGGGCTGTTCAAAGCACTGCAGTACCGTCTCGAGGTTGAGGGCCACCCGTGGCCCCCGTGCTTCCCACACCAGCAGTGAGGGTCTGGGTACACGTGCTGAGCTCGAGCACCGCAGGCTCCAGCGTCCTGACCAGATCTCGTCGCAGGTCTGCCTGAAGTGCAGTGGTGTGAAGGAGACCCACATGCCCATCCACTGCAGCTGTGCAGGCGACTTTGCCCTCACCATGCACACCAAGGTGGGCAGTGCTCTGTCCCTGCCTCTCTCCCTCGAGTCTCAGCTTCTCCTGGCTAGAACTCAGGGCTTACTGCAGTCTTTACTCCTACAGGTCTTCATGGAGCAGGTTGGAATCTTCCGGAACATTGCCTGGCACTACGGCATGTCTTACCTCCTGGAGACTCTGGAGTGGCTGCTGCAGAAGACTCCTCCACCAAGCCGCTAGCCAGCCATGGTGGCTCCGCCAGGCAGCCTGCACTGGCAGGGTCTGGTCTTGATGTAGCCGTTCTAGGTGGGCAGGCTGGGCTTGTGGGTTTTTGGAGAACATCTGGGGGCTGCCCACTTCCTCAGAGCAGCCTGAGCAGGGGCAGCCCATCCCCCTCAGGGCCTCTGAGTACCCCCAGGCCACTGTGGGGCAAGCCGGTGTTGGCCAGACTGTGGCCCGGGGGCATTCGCCTCTGGGAGGTCACCATGGTCCCGGGGGAGGTCACTGTGGCCCTGGTAGAGGTCAGTGTGGTCCCTGGGAAGGTTGCCATGGTCCTGGGGGAGTTGCCTCCCACTGAATAAAGAACTGTGCCTTTTCTTGCTATCTGCACCTCCTTAGGGTGGCGGTTGCATGGAAGAATGTCATTCCTGGGGGCTGACCCTTTCCTGCTCTGCCTCCTGAGGGGCTTCACTCTGGGGGTCCTGTTTACTGGAGGCCCTGAACTTGGGGTCTGGGCAAGGTGGGCTGGAGCCCAGCAGCCAGGGAAACTGCGTGGTGGGAGGGCCTGGGCTAGGACAGACCGGGCATAAGTGGGTCTTGCTGCTCACACAGGGGCTTCAAGTCCCCTGTTACAGTGATAGACGAGACAGCCCAACATCCCCAGGGAGCCCAGGGGGACCCTGGTCATGCCTGCTGTGCTGCAGAGCGGGACCAAGGAGGTGTGTCCCCGTCACACACAGCATCGTCTGCATGGGGAGCTGGGGTGGGGGTGATTCAAGGGGGGTGGTCTCACCAGGGGCCCTGTGGCGGCTGGCTGCTGCCTTTGTGCATTTCTTGCCGACTAGACCTGCATGTTTTTTGTTGAGGCCCCAGACAGCACTCTCTCCCCTTTGTCAGCTAGGACTCTATGCAGGTGCCCGTCTCGGCCACTCTGTGCTGTTGAGTGGGGCAGGGGCAGGGTCCCAGGTGGGCTCCTGCCTCCCAGCGCCCTGTGAGGCCCAGTTCAGGCACCTCAGGGACCCGCGCTCCCTCAGCCCCACGCCGCTCTGGGGAGAGGTGGGCCAAATCTGCATCTGGCTTTTAGTTAAATGTGGGGGACCTCGTCCTCTTCTGCCTTGGACCGGGACCAACAGGAAGCAGAAAACAAGCTTTGGCCAAATTAGGGCGGCAGCAGACAGATATTAGATAGGAATTGTCTTGCAGGCTCATGAATGATGCTGCCACATGGGGCCCGGGCTGCTGTCGAGTGGTCTGTGAGGGTCGGTGCCTGCGTGTGGTTCCAAGTGCTGCCCGACCTCCTCCACCCTGGGGCTGCCCTGCTCTGAGCTCATCCTGGCCGCTGACTTTCCGAAAATGTTTATCATTACTTTTTTACTGTTTTGTGTCTGTGTGAGGAGCCTCGTCTCTGAAGAAGCGGAGAGTAGATGAGTAACTGCATCTGTCAGGCCCCGGTAGGCCTGCCGCCCCTGCCCAGGAAATCCCAGGCTCCTGCAGGTAGATGGGCCAGCACCAGCTGAGTGCAGAGGCAACTGAGTGGAATCAAATCAAATTAGGACTGGCAGGGGGGCGGGAGCGGGCACGGGGAGCAGGCTAACGAGGTTTCTTGGAAGGGAGCCGCTGTCAGGGAGGGGCGCTATGGAACGTGATCGGCCCAGGGGACGTCGCATGCCAGGACTGTTTCGGCAGGCCCACCTTAAAGGATGGGTCAGTGGAGCTGTGTGCCGGGCCAGCTGGCTTGACCTGGCTGGTGGCTGCCCTGGGTCCTGCAGATGGGGCTCCGCTTGCTCAGCTGTGGGGGCATCTGATGCCATAGAGGGACCGAAACCGGAGCCTAGCTTGGCTCTTGATTGCATCAGGGGCCTGACTGGAAAAGCCAGTTTCTCCAGAACTAAAGCCGGCCATCTTGTGAGCCAAATGCGTGGGAGGTCACCGGCTCTGGTGACCTGTGACACCGTAACGAAGGATGGAGAAGCCGGCTGGCTTGGCTCTGCTGGGGCGGAGTAAATACCTGTCAGCTGAGCAGACATGTCTGGGCTCCCCCAGAGCAGGTGGCAGGACTGACCTCTGACCCCTTGGTTCCCAGTGACCACCAGAGAATGTCATGTGGGACGTGAACTTGGGGGGTTCCACCTGGGTCTGGACCCACCACCTCATCTCAGTGGTCCTCCTTGGGGAGGTGGCTGCACTTAGCACAGCGCCCTGCTCAGCCAGGCTCGCTCAAAGTGCCGAGGAGGACCCAGAGCCAAGTTCTATCCCCTGGGCAGGTCAGGACAGGCAGGCGCCAGCCTGAGAGGCTGGGATATAACGACTCCTTCCTGCAGCGTCCAAGGGTGTTGTAACCAGATTACGCGCTGGTCTGATTCAGTTAGCGCCAGCCCCTAAGCTCCAGCTCCTTCCTGAGCCACCCCACCCCCACCCCCACTGCCTCGGCCCCACTGGTCCCCTCCAAGCTCCAGCTCTTTCCTGTGCCATCCCCCCCCAGCCACCCATTGCCTCGGCCCCACTGGGCCTCCGCAGGCTCTGGTATAAATAGAGCTCGGAGTGTGGGCCATGGAACCCAGCTTCATTGTTCACATCTCGCCCTCTCCACCTCCCTCTGTCCTGAGTGGTCCACTCCATTCTTCTTCCCCGTCTTGGGGGAGGGGCTGCGGGTCTGGGGTCTGGGGTGCCTTCTGCAGGGCTGGGATGACTAGGGGCAGTGCCATGTGGTCCTGATGCCCCCTGGCTTGGCCCCTCACTGCCACTGGTCCCCTGGTCGTGAGCTGACTGTACATATGCACCCAGGCCGACGCCCGCTGAACCCCACCCATATTGTGGCACTGGCATTGTCCCCCCAAGATAATGAGTCTGATGGTTCTGATACAAGTTTAATGGGTTTTGGGCTTGTTGTGACCTCCTGGCTACAGGGTTCATGAAGGGTCTGGGCAGACAGACTGTGAAGCTATGGGTGGAGTGGAGCAGGACCCTTCCCCTCACCCGGAAACGGGCAGACCTCAGCTCAGCTCCAAGGGGCCGGGATCCTGGGGCTGCGTGAGAGGGAGCAGGGCGGGTGCAGAGCTCTGCGGGGCGGGGTCAGCTGGGGAGAGGACGGTGGGAACTTGCCTCTGCCCGCTAGAGACCCCGTCCTGGGGGAGGGCGAGGGCCGGGGTGAGGCCCTCCCACACAGGGGCCTGCAGGTTCTGGTGTTTATGGGTGGGTGGTGGTCGTGGTGTGTAGCAGAGCCCAGCCCCTGGTGCTGGGGTCCCTGCCTGTCTGGGGGAGCGGGGCTCGGTCTCTGGAGCCGAGACTTGAGGGGACCAACCCAGAATGGGCCCAGGTCTGTGGCGCAGCATGGTGGGGAAGGAGGCTCAGAGTTGAGCCAGGCCTTTTGGGTCGGTGAGCGTGGGGTCCTGTCGGGGAGGCTCGGAGGCAGAAAGCCCTTGTCCCACAGTCAGGTCAGGACCGTCGACCATCTGCTCAGGCCGGGCAGAGAGGCAGTGTGGGCTGGCTGGTCCTGGGGGAGGGCTGGGCGGCCGGCCCACTGGGCAATGCAGGGGCAGCGGAGGGGCCTGGCCCAGAACTAGGGCCAGGGTCACAGGCCAGCTGGCCTTGGCCTGCCTCGGTGTACACACCTTGTCAAACTTCTTGTGGCTGTACACCTTGTTCTTATTCATGAACGTGAGCAGGATCCAGTCACACAGGAAGGAGCCCTGGGCCAGCAGAGACGGATGCTCAGGGCCTGACTGGCACCCCCGCCCACCCTGGCCCCAGGGGTCCTTACCACCCCGACTGACGTCAACGCCGTGGCCACGTTGATGATGGTGGGGATCAGGCTGAACTTTCCTGCCTGGGAGAACAAGCCACGAGAACCTTGCACCTGGCCCTGGCTGGCCGCCTGCTGGTCACTCAGCCCATCAGGTCAGATGGAGGTTGGGGGTGTGAGGGGGTCGGTCAGTGTGGGTGGAGTGGAGCACCAGGCCCTGCCTACCTGTCCATGCACGATTACATCGATGCGGATTCCATAGGCCTTGATGAGCGTGCGGGTGGTGGTGCCGTTCACCTTGTAGTACTTAGCAAACCTGGTGGAAAGACCTGGAAACAGTCAGGAGGCCATGACGCCTGTGCTCGCCCTCCAGACCCATAGGGAGTGCCATGGCACGGGTGGGCAGCTGGGTGACCCTCCCACGAGAAGCCAGGTGCCTGCGTGGGAGATGTCTCTTTGAGCTGCCACAGCTGGGCAGCTGAGCCCCATGTGTCTCGCGGCTGAGGGCACCTGAAGTTGTAGCCCGAGGAGGCAGGGATGTGCTTGGGGTCGAGCCGCCGGAAGGAGTACTTAGGGTTGCACTTGGATGCAGACAGGTCCAGGTCACAGTGCCAGTTGATGATGACCCCAATGACCCCGCCCTGCAGAGGAGGGAGCCAGGGTCTAGGTCTGGGGTGGACCCTCAGCCCACGAGCCCTCCAAGGATGCAAAGTGACTCGTGGGGGTGGGGGGCAGCACAGGTCCAGACCCAAGGGAGTGTGAGGGGACGCTGGCGGCTCACTGGGAGCGCCAAGTGTCAATAATTCACCAGGTGCCACCCACACCCAGGAGGTTCGGGCTGATTGTGTTTCTCTGTCCTCCGCCCCAGCAGGGCCAGACTGGCCAGGGCTGAAAGGGTCCTTTTCTGCTGTAACAGAGCCTACCCTCCCTGGCCGAGCCGTTCAGCTGTGCCTGGGCACCCTGCCCACTCACTCGCCTTGTGCGCCAGCTCCGTGAAGTTCTCCCCAGCCTGCTCCACGATGAAGCCCAGCTTGAATATGGGGCAGTAGAGGTTGGAAGCCTCGTCAAAGGTGCAGTGCTTTAGGTAGTCATCTTTCCTGCTGGCGATGTTGCCCCTGAGAAGGGGGCCGGGAGGGGTGGGGGATGGGTAGGTGGCAAGAACCACGTTCCAGGTCAGCGTGTGAGATGCCCAAGCACCCCTCCCCAAACATGCATTTCCAGTAGGCAGCATCCCTCGGTAGCCCCTCAAACCAGCTGCTCCACGGGAACCATGGCTCTTACTTGGAGAACTGGAACTTGGGGTAGTGGATGCTGTTCTTGATGAGGATGGTGAAGTTAGGGGCCATCTTGCCTAGGAATTGGCTGCAGGCACAGACAGGCTGTGTTCAGTTCCCCTCCCCCAGTACAGGCCCGTCTGATCCCCGGCCCTGCCCAAGGCTGGTCTGCATGGCCGGGGCGTGGGGGGGGGAAACAGAAGCTTCTCCGTCTGTAGGGACAGCTGTGGGGTCGAGGGTCAGGGGCTGCACACCTGACAGAGGCTCCATCCTCCACTGGGCACCACCCGGACACCTCGCATGTCTTCGAGGCCCCGTAGTAATAGGGCACGCAACGCCCGGTCCGCAGCCCTGCCGCAGACACCCCAGGTAGTGACCACGGGACACCCCCACTGCCCCACCCCAGGTGGCGCCCACTGACCGTTTCCTAGCATGTCCAGCTCCCCGGCCACGCAGTCCTTGTCTGAGTCGCAGATGGCGTTGCTGACCCTCATGCTCTGGGGGGAGAGGGGCTAGTTCAGCCTCCAAACGAAGAGGCTCCCCTTGCCTCTCCAGGGCTGCCCCTCCAGGCCTCACCCTCACCTCGGGGCAGGTTCCGAGGGCCTGGGAGGGGGTGACCTCAATCCTCGTGATGATGCTGAACACACTGCCCCCCTGGTCAGAGAGAGGGGACGCATGTGGGGCACAGCACTCGCCCCTCCGGTGTCCACCCTCGTGGGGGCTGGGTGAGGACGGAGGTGTCCGGGAGGCCTCGGGTGGGAAGGGCGTACCTCGGGGGGCCTCACGTACTCCTCCACGTCCCAGACCTTGTGCTCCGAAGTGCTGATGCCCTTGACCTTGGTGATGATGGAGCTCTCGGGGCCTGTCTCCGTGTCCTGGTAGCTCTTCTGCACGATAAACACGTACCTGTGGGGACGGGGCAGGGTGACGCCCTAGGAACCCACACCACGACCCCGGACCCAATAATCAGGAATCCAGACCCAGGAACCAGGAATTCGGATCCAGGAATCAGGATGCAGGAGTCCGGATCCAGTCCCTGGGGCCCCGTTTTCCACCCAGGTCAGCTGGGCTCGACGCCCACGGCTGCGTCACCGCCTGTGGGGACCCGGCCCGCCCGGGGAGCCTCCCCCGCGTCCGCACCACACGAAGTAGAGCAGGATGAGCAGCTGCACCGCGCGATACACGACGCCCAGGTGCCGGTTCTTCACCACGATCACCTTGGGCGTCTCGTAGTCCCAGAACGCCGACCAACAGCCCCTGGCCAGGCGCCGCGCCGCGCCTGTCCGCGCAGGG